TATTCGGTTTCCTTTTATTTTGTTGAGTATTTTTGCATCTATGTTCATCAGGGATATTGGTCTGTAATTTTCTTTTTTGGTGTGTTCTTTGCCTGGTTTTAGTATTAGGGTGATGTTGACTTCATGGAATGAGTTTGGGGGTATTCCCTCCTCTTCTATTTTTTGGAAAACTTTAAGGAGAATGGATATTATGTCTTCTCTATATATCTGATAAGATTTTGTGGTAAATCCATCTGGTCCGGGGGTTTTGCTCTTGGGTAGTTTTTTGATTACTGCTTCAATTTCGTTGCTGGTAATTGGTCTGTTTAGATTTTCTGTTTCTTTCTGGGTCAGTCTTGGAAGGTTGTATTTTTCTAGAATGTTGCCCATTTCTTCTAGGTTTTCCAGCTTGTTAGCATATAGGTTTTCATAGTATTCTCTAATAATTTTTTGTATTTCTGTGAGGTCCATCGTGATTTTTCCTTTCTCGTTTCTGATCCTGTTGATGTATGTAGATTCTCTTTTTCTCTGAGTAAGTCTGGCTATAGGCTTATCTATTTTGTTTATTTTCTCAAAGAACCAGCTTGTGGTTTAATTGATTTTTTTTATCGTTTTATTCTTCTTAATTTTATTTATTCTCTGGTCTTTATTATGTCTCTCTTTCTGCTGTCTTTGGACCCCATTGTTCTTCTTTTTCCAGTTTCAATAATTATGCCTTTAGACTATTCATTTGGATTTATCCTCCTACTTTAAATAGTCCTGGATTGCTATATGCTTTACTCTTAGAACTGCCTTTGCTGTATCCCACAGAAGTTGGGGCTTTGTGCTGTTGTTCTCATTGGTCTCCATATATTGCTTGATGTCTGTTTTAATTTGGTCATTGATCCATTGATTATTTAGGAGCATGTTGTTAAGCCTCCATGTGTTTGTGAGCCTTAATTTGTTTTCTGTTTACTGTTTATTTCTAGTTTTATGCCTTTGTGGTGTGAGAAGTTGGTTGGTAGAATTTCAATCTTTTTGAATTTACTGAGGCTGTTTTTGTGGCCTAGTATGTGGTCTATTCTGGAAAATGTTCCATGTGCACTTGAGAAGAATGTGTATTCTGCTGCTTTTGGGTGTAGAATTCTGTAGATGTCTGTTAAGTCCATCTGTTCTAGTGTGTTTTTCAGTGCCTCTGTGTCCTTATTTATTTTCTGTCTGGTGGATCTGTCCTTTGGAGTGAGTGGTGTGGTGAAGTCTCCTAAAATGAATGCAGTGCATTTTACTTTTTCCTTCAATTCTGTTAGTATTTGTTTCCAACATGTTGGTTCCTCCTGTATTGCATGCATATATACTTATAATGGTTATATCCTCTTTTTGGCTGACCCCTTTATCATTATGTAATGTCCTTCTTTATCTCTTATTACTTTCTTTGTTTTGAAGTCTATTTTGTCTGATAGTAGTACTGCAACGCCTGCTTTTTTCTCCCTGTTGTTTGTATGAAATATGTTTTTCCATCCCTTGACTTTTAGTCTGCGTATGTGTTTGGGTTTGAAGTGAGTCTCTTGTAAGCAGCATATGGAAGGTTTTGTATTTTTTATGCATTCTATTACTCTGTCTTTTGATTGGTTCATTCATTTTATTTACATTTATGGTGATTATTGAAAGATATGTACTTATTACTATTGCACGCTTTAGATTCGTGGTTACCTAAGGTTCACAGTTAGCTTCTTTACTATCTGTCTAACTTAACTCGCTTATTGAACTATGATAAACACTGTCTGATAATTCTTTATTTTTCTCCCTTCTTATTCCTCCTCTTCCGTTCTTTATATGTTAGGTGTTCTATTCTGTGCTCTTTTGTGTTTCCTTTAACTGCTTTTGTGAATAGTTGATTTTATTTTTTGCCTTTGGTTCGTTTTTGGTTGGTCTGCTTTCTTTGGTGTGATTTTATTTTCTCTGGTGACATCTGTTTAGTGTTTGGAGTGCTTCCATTTAGAGCCGTCCCTCTAAAATACCGTGTGGAGGTGGTTTGTGGAAGGCCAAGTCTCTCAACTGTTGCTTGTCTGGGAATCGTTTAATCCCTCCTTCATATTTAAATGATAATTGTGCTGGGTACGGTATCATTGGTTCAAGGCTCTTCTGTTTTATTGCATTAAATATATCCTGCCATTCTCTTCTGGCCTGTAAGGTTTCTGTTGAGAATCCTGATGGGTTTTCCTTTGTAGGTGACAATTCTTCCCTCTCTGGTTGCCTTTAATACTCTGTCTTTGTCCTTGATATTTGCCATTTTAATTATTATGTGTCTTGGTTTTCTCCTCCTTGGCTCCCTTTTGTTGAGATTTCTGTGTCCTTCCATGGTCTGAGAGACTATTTCCTCCCATAGTTTGGGGAAGTTTTCAGCAATTATTTCAAATACACTGTCTCTCCCTTTTTCTCTTTTCTTCTTCGTCTTATACCCCTATAATGCGGATAGTGTTCCGTTTCAATTGGTCACAGAGTTCTTTTCATATTCTTTCATTCCTGGAGATCCTTTTATCTCTCTCTGCATCAGGTTCTCTGTGTTCCTGTTCTCTGATTTCTATTCCAATAACAGCCTCTTGTACCTCATCCAGTCTGCTCTTAAGTCCTTCCAGAGATGATTTTATTTCTGTGTTCTTCCTCCTAACTTTATCTGTTAGCGCTTGCATATTTCTCTGCAGCTCCATCAGCATGGTTATGACCTTTATTTTGAATTGTTTTTCAGGAAGATTGGTTAGGTCTGTCTCCCCAGGCTCCTTCTCGGGGATTGTGTGTGTGATTCTGGTCTGGATCAATTTCTTCTGCCTTTTCATGGCGATAGAGGTTGTCATGTGCAGGTGACGCATGTGTCAGCTGGGAGTGCAAAGTCCCTTCCCACTTGCTCCTTGCCTTCTTCTCCCGGGAGAACAGCAACGCTTACCGGCTTGTGCTGGGCCTCTGCACCCTGTCTGGGCCTCTGAATCTATCCTGGGTGGCTGTGGATGAGGCTCCAGATGGTTGATGTGGATTCGGCCCCTCTCTGGCTGCTCTTCTGCTATGGTGGTGTCGCGCCAGAGGGGGAATGGACGCGGGGCTGTTTATTGCCGTGAGGGGCCTCAGATGGTTAGGGCGCTGCCTCCCCAAGGGTTAGGGCACCTGGAGTTCCCTGGGATTCCCAGCTGCTGAGCAGTGTGTGCCAGGATGCTTCCGTCCAGCTGTGAGGCCCCTGTACCTTTAAGACTTTCAAAAAGCACTCGATTTTCTTTTGTCTCAGGGGCGCCGGCTGCGGGAACCACTCACAGATTTTACTGTCCCGTTTCCATAGTATCCAGCACCCCACACACTGTGTGTCTGTGCTTCTGCTGCGGATGGCTAGGGCTGGGTATTTAACAGTCCTGGGCTCCCATTCCCTCCCTGCTCCGACTCCTCTCCTCCCACCACGGAGCCAGGGTTGAGGGGTGCTCGCATCCCACTGGGCCGCAGCTTGTTTCTTACCCCCTTTGTGAGGTACTGGGTTCTCGCAGATGTATGTGTAGCCTGGCTATTGTGCTGTATCTTCTGGTCTCTCTTTTAGGAGTAGTTGTATTTGTTGTATTTTCAGAAATATATATGGTTTTTGGAGGAGATTTCCGCTGCCCTACTTACGCTGCCATCTTGGCTCCTCCCTCTGTCCTTTTGAATATGAGATCTTGGTATCTTTTGTTAAATTCCTTGGAGTGGAAATCCTGGGTCAAATGGTATTTGTATTTTGAGTTTTTTGAGGAACCTACATATTGCTTTCCATAATTTACATTCCCACCAGCAGTGTAGGAGGGTTCCCCTTTCTCTTTTAGATTCACTTTTTAAATTTATTGTTCCAGATGGGTTGATGTCCTTTATAATAATGCTTAGCTTCCACTGTGCCTATAAGTTTGTTTTAAAAGAGAATCATTCTTAATTTACAATCTCTGTGGTGTATGTGTGTTATTACTGAGAGGAGTTCTTTAAGATGCCAGTATCTTTCTTGGAGTGAAACAATTTGTGTGAGATAAGTTTGTAGAGTTCTCTAGGTGGTATTTCTGGGGAGGAATTGGAGGCCACAGAACATGGGTGGATTCCTGTGGCTTGGGCTCTGGTCCTCTCCCTCTCTGGTCACAGAGATCTAATCTGTAAATTCACTGAGTCGGTGAGCCTTTGAGAGCCAGTCTGTGCCAACTACCGTGCTGAGGAGAAGCTAATTTACAGTCAGACGCCAGTCTGTCTATTTGCTGCTCATTGGCCTGGGTCTCTGCCTCTCGTGGTGGGTACTAAACACGCCCCTGCCTTGGACAGCAGTGCTCCGTGCATGCTGAGCAGGATCTGGGGACCAAATTGGTGCTCAGAGCATCATTTGGAATAGTGGAAACTGGTTTTCTTAGTAACATAGTCACCTAAGTCACGCGCCCGGACAGCCAACCCGCTCATCCTTTGGGTGTTGTGAAGACTTGGCTGCCATTACTGGCATGATAGCACCTTCCCTTTGGGTTGTCCTGTAGGTCTAGAAGCAGTCTCATTCCCTGGTTTCTCAGGACGGCACTGCGGGCAGTATGCTGTCACAGTTCTGTTGGTTTTCACATTTCCCGTCCCCGAGTGGGTCTCCTGGCAGTAGCAGGGACCCATTCACCACCTGTTTCTCACCCAGAGGGCTGCGGGCATTGGCTGGTACTCTTTTCTCCTTGACTTCATTATTGTTGGTATTTTTTCCTGCTTTACTTTACTTAGTGTCATTTGCTGAGCCTGTCCCCAACACTATGGGTACATCTTTTCCAGAATCTGAGGTTTTCACTTGGGTATAGAGGGCACAGATGCTGAGCAAGTTCCCACTTACAGTTTATACGAAAGAGAGGAGATAGGCATATTTGCTAGGTGCTCTGGAATATCCTGAAATTTGGGGCAGTTCCATTTGGCTCTGGGAAAGTCTCAAGTTGTTTACAGTTTATCCTCTGTAGTAATTTGGAGCAAGTTTTATGAAATTCATGATAAGCTTTGTAGGAGTTTCACCTTCTGGATTTTTGCTTGCACAGGTTCTCTTAAAGGCCTTCATAGCGAGTCTGAAGTCAAGCTCCCCTACCATCCGGCGGACAGCAGCTGGCTCAGCAGTGAGCATCTGCCAGCATTCGAGAAGGACGCAATATTTTTACAGCTGGCTGCTAAACGTGCTCTTAGGTAAGGTGCAGGCCTGTGATTGTTTCCCGTGGTGTGGTAGTCTCTAGCATTTACTTGAGACAGACAGACCTTTGATGTTCTTTACTTCAGCCTCCAGACTAAGCCTGTGGCGCTCCTGACTGGTAATGTGAACTGTGTTGAGGCTGCTGTGAGCCAGTGTGGGGTGTTTGAGATCAGGAAAAGGCCCCTTCTCTGTGCAAAGTACAGGCACAGCCTGCCCAAGGACTGCTCGCTGGTCGTGGGTGTAAGCTGTGTGCAGCCCCACCAATGTCCCGTTGGGCCGCAGAACTGCTCAGCTGTACGCGGTGGCCTTGTGTGCAGTGAGCTCCCGAGGCCTGAAGCCGAGCCTCAACCCCAGCAGGTTCCCTGTACAGGTGTAGGTCTGTGGGCTGCTTCTCCTGTACCAGGGAGTTAACATGCACAGGTGCTGAGGGACTGTAATGGGAAAGGCTGTCTGGCTTTCACACGCAGTGAAACTCCCAGGAGGGGCTTTGCTACACTAAGGTTTCACGGGTTACCCTTGAGAGCCACTTGTGGGTCTTGGCCACACGAGGAAACGCACCGTGGTCCCCACGGTCGTGTTTGTGCTGTCTTCATTGCTCACCGCCAGCCTCACTGTCAGGTTCTCTGGGTCTCTTGTTGTTGATAAATTAAGCCACGATTCTTTTGGTGGATCAGGTGTTCAGACGTCTGTTGCTGCCTTCGTAGGTTTGTTGGCTCCTGCCGAGGATGAGCACCCTGCCCTCCTGACCCTCGGAGTGCTGCTCACACTGAGATACTTGGTGCCTTTGCTGCAGCAGCAGGCCAAGGACACGGGCCTGAAAGGCAGCTTTGGGGTGACGTGGAAAGAAACAGAGGTCTCTCCCTCGACAGAGCAGCTTGTTCAGGTAGGAGCCACATCTTCCTCTAGTGCCTGTACATAAGTGACTGACAGTCAATCAGACTGTCTGGAAGAGAGGTGGCAGAGCCAAGGCTGAAGAGGCCAGAGCCAGACCCACTGGTTCAGATTCTGGGTCACGACCTCTAGCTCTGTGACCAGTGTATGGCAGTGACATTAGTAAAATGGAGGTGCGCTCTCATAAGGTGCTGAGAGTATTACATAAACCCCTTGGGCCCCTGCCTGGCAGAGAGGACACTATTGTCCTGTTTCTAAAACCAGGGCTTGGGAGATGTGTTTGTTCAGTAGACATTTACTGAGCCACGCCGTGTGCTGGGCACTGGGGCAGGTGCAGGGGAGACAGCAGTGAGCATTTGGGTGTGACCTCTGTCCCCTGGATCCTGTGGTCTGCACATTAGACTACCTGCAAGGAAGGTGGGAACACAAGGCCACAGGGGAGTCAGAACAAATGCTAAAACTTGTCTTCCCGATCCAGAGAAAGCCTATGACAGTTCTGGCACATTGGGGTCAGTAGGTGACTGAGTTCTCTGCAGCGTGCTCTTCCAGGCCATTTCATTAACCTTGTACCAGTGCGGCTGCGTTTGAGCAGCCGTATTTTGTGCCCTTCACTTTGAGATGTTATGTCTGGGTTTATACTGTGGTCACTGTGTCGGGTGCTTTGAAGCCCTTGCGCTTTCTGCAAGTCAGATGAACAGATGACACATATAGGGGTTGAGGCACACAGCCCGGGCTCCTGAGAGGGGTGCCTCGTCTCAGTTGTCTGCTTTCAGTTTATTGGTGACATTGTAGTTTATGGGTATTTGGGTCAGTTGGATTTTGTAGGGTACAGAATTGTAAGTGGCTAAAACGGTGTTCTTGCAAGGCAATCGTGAGCTGAAGATAGTGCTGATGATTGAGGCATTGAGGCAGGTGGCACTCGTAAGGTGTGCAGGCCCCTCCCTGCCCATGGGAGGCCTGGGAGCGGTGGCGGCGCCTGAGCAGGCCTCCCGGAAAGCTGCCGGTGCACGCCCTGCTTCGACCGCCGTCCCTCCGCTGTCTCCCCGAACCAGGTGGTGCAGGCTCAGCAGCTAGGACGGTTCAGCGCCCCCATTAAAAGTCACAGCTGAGCGCATGAGCGAGCAAGAAGGGAGTGAACGGCGGTGACAAATACACTTCTAAGACAGTTTATTTCATCCTTACCTGGTTTTTTGTTTTGCTTTGATTATGGAGATTTCCAGGCATACACAAAAGTTGACAGAATAGCATAGTGGCCCCTCACCTCAGGGCTGCTCACGTGTTCACTTAGAGGCCACACCCTTCCCCTGTGTTGGTGCTGCTGTGAAGCTGTCCCACCTACCCTGTTATTTTATCTGTATTTCAGTATGTATCCTATAGAGGAGGACACTTTGTTCTTAAAACTCAGTGGTAGTGCCATGTCACACCTAAAAGAATGAACATGCACTTAACCTCACATAGCCATTCACCCACTGTCAAGTTTTCCTGAGCTGATGGTTTCCCTTGAGTTCCTTTGATGAAGAAATAGATTGTCCTGTGGAACTTCTGGCAATCTGATTTATGGCTTGTCTCTACTGAATAAATCAGCACATTTCTTTGTTCTCTGTATCTCCTTTCCATTGATAATTGGAACTAGAGCCCTGTCAGATTTTGTGCATATTTGATTATGCACATAATAACTGAGGTCAGCTTATATAGTATTTTAGAATAAATAAAACATAAGTATTGGGGCTACATACCCAGAATTTTTTTCTGGTGTTTTAAAAAACTGCCTAGTCAAAAAAGTTTGAAGACCATTGGTCTGGTGGGAGAAGCCAGCAGTCACTAGATGGCATGGTGAGGTGGGGAGTGCAGGGCACTGTAGGAGCACCCAGCAGGGGCCCCTGCATGGCCAGGGTCAGGGAGGCATGCAGGGAGGGGCTGAGTTACAGGCTCTGTTTAAGGGTGAGCAGGATCTGACCATGAACTGGGAGTTGGGAGAAGAGAGTTTTCTAGGCAGAAACTGCAACCATTGCCAAGACCAAGGAGAGTGAGAAAGAGGGCACCCAGCTTGAGTGAGGGTACAGGCAGGCATGGGTGTGGCCCTTTGTGGGTCTCAGGGCTCTCTCCTAGATGAGCAGGTATGCTGGGGAAAGGTGAGGTCTGAGAGGTGTTGAAAACTGTGTTCAGCTAGGGTAGCAGTAATCCTGGGAGGACAGGGGAGGGGCATAGGGTGTGCTGCTTATTTAATTAGTTACTGACTTTCTTAATACTTACTTCTCTCCAAAGCTATTACATGGTATAGCACCTTGTTGAATTACGAGCTAGATATGTTTTAGAGACAATCTTAATCTGTTTTCTTTTGAATACTAAGCATTCTGAATTAACTATTTTTATTAAGAAGCTCATTTCAGCTAATGTAGTTTGGCTAACTGTATTTACAAAGAATTTAAAATAATCCTGGGTGTGGCTAAACTATTAAACAAGTGTGGACAAAGTCTGTGTACTTTCAGATATTCAAGAACTCAATTTTCTGTTCCTGTACACTTTCTGAAGAAGTTATTTGACATTGTATTTCAGCAATATGAGAAGTATATTTAAAAAATGAGGATGCCCTTAAAGCCAGGAAACAAGGCACCTCACTGTGGGAAGGCAGTGGGAGCACTTCCCAGCAGTGGATGTGCAGCGTGCCGTGCAGTGGGAACAGGAGGCCAGAGGTGCTCCAGGGAGCCCCACAACAAGTGTGACCAAGAAGCTGGGGAGAAGGGAGGCAGGCGTGTACTTCAGCACAGGTGGGGAGAGGCGGTCAGCCGCACTAGGAAAGCAGGCAGATTTATAAAAGAAAGTTAGGATCCAGTAATGAAGCAAATTGAAAGTTGAATAATTTTAGGTAAGTAATAGATTATGGTAAAAGAGAATGCGTTTAATTATTACCCTTGGTACATTCTGTTTCAAGTGGCACAGGACTAGTAATAATGAAATATTTCTTTATTTTGGGGTCTGGTCACATTAATAGGCTTTGCAGTGAATAGTGTTTATGGAAACATGGTAAGATATGTACTTTTTAAAATTCAGCTTTTAGACTCATCCTCTAGGCATGGCAGATGTTTTAAATAGTGATGCATAGTAGATGTCAATGTCATATCTTAGTGATAGGAAACTGGTGGTGCTGGGACCAGAATTTGGGAGGGGCCGATGGGCTGAAGGGCAGATGGGAGTATGGGAGGCTGGTTTTCTCACTTCACGTAGTAAGTTTGCTCAAAAAAATACATGACCTCAGAATCAAGGTGTGAGCTCATGAGCTAGAGCAGGGTCAGCAGCCTCTCCCTGCATTGGGCCAACCACTGAGCTCTACTGGTGTAGCAGGAGGGTGGCCACGGATGGACACAGACGTGGCACGTTCTAGTGTAACTTTCTGTACAGGACAGGTGGTGGCCTGATTGGGCCTGTGGATTGTGGTTTTCAGACCTGTGACCTGGAGTTTCAGAGATTGCCATTAAGCAATGATTAAAAGCAGTTACCTCTGAGACTTCTTTCTTATTGTATGCCTTCCTCTGCTGTTTTGTTAAATATGCATCTTATTTTCATGGGATTAAAGGCAGCGCTGCCTGATGTATCAAATAAAAATACAGGATTCCATTTAAATTTGAATTTCAGAGAAATAGTGTATAATTTTGTGGTGTAAGTCTGCCTGAAATCTCATGGGACATAGTTATACTACAAAATCATCTGTTGTTTATATGAATTCCAGTTTAACTAGGTGCTCTGTATTTTATTTGGCAACTCTAATTAATGGGAAAAAGAATAAATCCAGTGTGTTCACATAATGTGATACAGTATTAAAAGTACTAAGAAACTTGACACAATGCCTTTAAAATTTGGGGAATCTCTTCCTCCGTGGCTCACCAGTTTGGGGAGACGAGATCCCAACTAGCATGCTGCTGCTTTTGTGAAAGTGCTCTGCTTATTTTAAGGAATCAGTGTAACAATGAAAGAAATCAATGCGGTTTAGAAACCACATTGGAGTTGATGATCACACTGGTAGAAGCAATAGAGAAATTTTTAGGGGGGAAATTAAAGGCACAGATTTGCCAACCTAAGACTATCAAAAACAAAACCAGTGAAACTTTAGGCATATTTTAAACCAATGAGGGTACCACTTGGGTGTCTCTGTTTCTAGGTTTACGAGCTGACCTTGCACTATGCTCAACACCCAGACCACAATGTTGTGACTGGAGCATTAGAACTCTTGCAGCAGCTCTTCAGGACGCCTCCACCAGGGCTCCTGCAAGCCCTGACCACGCCGGGCGGTATCGGGCAGCTTGCTGCGACCCAAGATGAGCCCAGCTGCCGAGGGCGAAGCGGGAGTATTGTGGAGCTCATAGGTAAGTTACTGGGGAGGCTGACTCAGAAAGAGCCCTGTAGTAACACTGGTTATCCTCTGTTGAATTATGGGCCTGGTGCTGTGCTGAGCAATTTACATCTCAATTCCCTATGAAAACTGCAGTCCTTGTCTACAAACAGAAGTAATGTGTAGAAAAGTAAAGTGACAAAATGAGGCCAGCGTTTAGAGCTCGGCCTCCGGACTTGGCTGCCTCCCCATGGCACTGCATGGATCGTGAATGAAAACATCAGGGAAAGGATTTCCAGCGCTCTTGTGCCCCTTTGCCCAGACGTGGGATCTTTCGAGCGTCGGCAGGGAGTTCAGAGCTCTCTCTTCCTCTGGGTCCTGCTCTGCTGTCCCGACCGTCTCTGGAAACCTCCTGTTCCTCCTCTTGCAGACAGTCCTCTGCCCTCTCTCTGCCCTGCTGCTGTGGGCTGTAGGGGGATGGGGTCTCATCCCCATAGGGGTGCTACCCTGTAGCCTGGCCATCTCCTCCAGCCTCAGTGGGCCCCGTCTGACCCAGAGTAGCCCTTAGGGGCTGGAATACGTGGGAGCCCCGAATCGCAGCTTCTCACGCGGGGTTTGGCACAGAGGAGGCTTCTGCCGCTTTTGCTGAGTCTGGACCTCCCTGAGGCCCTGCGGTGTGGGGTTGGTTAAGTGCGGCCGGGTGTGGCTGGGCCTTTCTCCCAGCACTGACGAACTGGAGAGCCTTTGACTGGACGTCTGGCTGCTGACTCCCTTGAACACAGTTCTTTGCCTGAGCCCTGAGCAGAAGGCGTTAGTGTGCCTGCTCCTTGCCCTTTGTAGTGGGGAACCCTTTTCTCTGTGGAATACTTGCCTTACAAATCATTGCTAGAAGTACTCATTTCTAATGAAAATTTCTATTTGATTATTAGTTGATCAAACAATCTGAGATTTCTGATGTTTTTAATTTGGTGTTTTAAATGCTCTTTATCTGAGCCCTTTGCTATTTTAGTCGTGTCTTTAGCAATGAGATGTTTGAGCATTTGTGTGATCCCATGCTGTTGAAATTAAGCTGTTGCAATAAGGTACGTAAGCATTGCCTGTGTGGACATGCTCATGTGGTCTCTGATTAGAAAGATGAATCAAGCTTTTTGAAGATTTTCAGATTCCTCTGGATTTTAGCAGTTTGTTACCTTATTTTCACCTGTCATTTTCTGTGATTTGCAGCTGGAGGGGGTTCTTCATGCAGCCCTGTTCTTTCAAGAAAACATAAAGGTGATTACTTCACAAATCAGTCTTATGTTGAATCTTACTGCTCTTTCTGTAGTTCTGTAAAGCAGTTGACTTCCTGTCTCTCTCTTTAACAGTAATGTTATATATAAATGTGGCTGGAATCTGATAACTAGGTCTGCTTAGTTCCGTTGGGTGGCTTTTAAAAATTGCTTGTATATCAGAATTACTTTGTCATAAATTTCTAATGCTTTAAATTAGGGATCAGCAAACTTTTTCTGTAAAGGACCTGATGGTACATATTTTAGCCTTGTGGGCCTTATTGTCTCTTTTGCAACTGTTCACCTCAGTCTGGTGACAGGAAGGCACTCCCCAGGCTAGTATCTCTGCATTCTTAGTGCTTAGCTCCCTCAAGGCAAAAAAGTATGTACACGTAATGATAAACTGTGTGAGAGGTGAATTAAGTAAGCTTATGATTTTCTACTTAGAATGTGCATTTATTGGATTTGCAAAGTTCTTCATCTTAGCAAGCTTAAAAAGGACTCCTGCTACCTCGTTTCCTAGGGAAGGTGCTCTTTGGAGAAGCAGCAGCCTTGGAGGATGACTCTGAGTCAAGGTCGGAGGGCAGCAGCCCGGCGTTTGCAGGTAGCTCTCGTGGGGGCCAGTCCACCTTCTGCTCTGCCCCCTGCACTTAGTAGTGCATGCTTGTGGGGAGGGCAGTAGGGAAGCCAAGCCATCTTGCTCGAATGGTGGGTAATTCTGGATTTGTTCATAATGTTTATTTTGAAATGCGTGTGTTTTCTTGCATCAGATGTTTGCTGTTTCCTTGGTTTAGGCTGCATTAAAATGTGGTTTGTGCTACCTGAGTAGGGATGGTAGGTCATGGAATCTCATGAATTGCAGGATCATGAGGGGGGAAATGGGGTTAAAAATTGACCTTGGGTAATTGGACTTGAAAGAAATGTGCTTACAGATAGTTATCTAATTGGATTCTTTATTCACCTTACAAAAGATGACACCAGTAATTGGATTAATTAGAGTGGTTTGGGTTGTATAATCCTATCCAAAAGAATATTTTTACATAATCAAACATAAGGCTAAAATATTTGGGAAGGAAAATCTGAATAATTCCCCTGGTGATTATGCATTCATTTATTTTACAGAAGAGAAATCGGTAATTCATTACAAAAATTAAAAGTTAAAACAACAGAATAATGAAGCTCTCCATAAGTATAAGGCTCAAGTACTCACTGCATCAGCAGTCCCACCGTGGCCTCTGCTAACAGCCTGGCTTGGCTGTTTCTGTTGCAGGTTTTATGCAGTGGTGGTGTTTTTTTAATGGGCATTTAGAAACTATTAAACTAGGAAACTGGGTGGCTGGCTTGGAGGTCTTGAACTGGCTCCAGGAAGATGTTGAAGAGATGCTGAATTTGCTGTCAGTTCTGAGCGCGGCTCACTGGCCAGGTTGCTGTGACGCCTGCGGGCTTCACGTGCTGCTCCAAGCTAAGGCTGCAGCAGGTGCTGATGAACTGGTGGTGATGCCACTGTGCCTACTTTGGTTTTATAGGGAACTACCATTCAAGAATATTCATAGCATTAGAAAAATATCTGCTGATAGGCCTTATGTTATTAATATGATAGACTAATATAGGAAAAGCGAAGTAAGTAACACAGCAAACCAGTTTTAATTTTTAAAGGATTCACTATTGTCTTGGACTGTATTTTAGGATTTTTTTATGTTAAAAAATTTGGTGACCTTTGGGGTATTTTGCAAACATGATTCCTTATTGAATGTGTTTCTTGGCCCTGTGAGGACTGAATGTTTCTTTGTCTTCAGCCTCAGTGAAGGGGGAGGTCAGCGGTGAGCTGGCGGCCTCTTCCGGGGTCTCCACTCCTGGCTCTGCCAGCTCAGCTACCGACTCTGTGGGTCATGACATCATCACGGAGCAGCCACGGTCACAGCACACACTGCAGCCAGACTCGGTGGATCTGACCGGCTGTAACTTGGCGAGCACTGCCACCGAGGGGGATGAGGAGGACATCTTGAGCCACAGCTCCAGCCAGATCAGTGCTGTCCCATCCGACCCCGCCGTGGACCTGAATGACGGAACCCAGGCCTCCTCACCCATCAGTGACAGCTCCCAGACGACCACCGAAGGGCCTGACTCAGCCGTGACCCCTTCAGACAGCTCTGAAATTGTAAGTGGGCAGGGGGTGCCCTGGTTTCTTCAGGAGGTCTCCTCTGGAGGGCCAGACTTGGACCCTCCTACTTATTTCCCTCTTCCCATCTGACCCCCTGATAGCAGTACAGGGGTCACCAGCTCAGGTCATTAATGGAGAGCTGACCCCATCTGAGACCTTCCCTGAAGGAAGTGGTGGTGTTCATGGAGGGCAGAAGTTGGAGTAGGTGATGCTGTGAATGCTGCTGAAACTGAGTGCATTTAAAGTACTTTAAGACCTTGTTGGGCACAGGTTAAACCATCATTTTAAAAAAATCCTTAAGGAACCTATTATTATCATATCTGTGGTCTTTAGCAACTGTGATTAATGACATTACTGCATGCATTAACATTTCTGACTTTTCCAAAACTTTTATAACAAATTCCCAGAGCTTGGATTTAAGTACCTCTGATCTCTAAGCCAGTGAAGACTAAATGATGGTCTAGTCGAAAAGTTTGGCACAAGTACATATTGAGTTTGCACCCAATTTCATTACAATAGTTTGCACTGTTAAGTGTTTTGCTACTGTTTATCATATTTTATTATTAAGAACAGTTTTTTACTTGAATGAGTACAGAAACATCAAATTGCAAATCATGAGATAAAACACTTGTGTGTCCCTGCTGAGTGGGCGTCAGGGTATCACATGGGTGTGCTCTGTAGTGGCCGTGGAGATGTAGTCACCTGGTTAGAGAAGTGGGCTCGTGGTTACGTTGTTTAACTGGAAGACCCTGAAGAGGATAAGACATAATTGGAACAGTGGGAAACGATGTTTAGTAAGGAAAGAGTGACTGGGCTCTAACCAGGGTTTGGGGAGAGGAGGAGGTTGGGGAGCATTCTGGGCTTATACCTGTTGAGGGTGTGAAGGGGATTTATGTGGTTTGCCTACTGACCTCCTGCCTCCCATGGGCTATAGGTTGATTTCTGGATAGATTGGTTAGAATTAGGAATGAATGACTCCAGGAATTGTGCCGGTTCCTGTCATGAGTGGATGGGCAGGTGCTTACTGTATGGCCCTGCTGGCGGTGGGACCTCTGTGGGCCTGTGGCCTGGAGGAGCCGGGTATCTTCCCTTGGTATTTCCCATGCTGATGTAGCTCTCTTCAGCTTATGAGGTGCTTCCATGTCCTTTGGTCATTAATTATCTGCTGAACAAATGTACTGAGCCCCTGTTGTGTGGGGCTGTTCTACAAGCTGAGGGTGAAGCAGAGGGCACACAAATGACCTGCCACACCGAGTTAGTGCCCTGGAGCTCTGCCTGTGGAGGGCAGAGGGTGAATGCCTTTGGCTCTGTAAGCCAGACAGCCTGTGTCACATGCTTGCTGCTGTTGCAGTGTGTGGGCAGCCGCAGGCTGTGGAGTAAGCGGGCACGACTGTGTTCCAGTAGGACTTTATTCACAGAAACATGTGGTGGGCCAGATTTGGCCGCAGGTCATAGTCTGCCTGTCCCCCTGCTGGAGTGTGTGCCTGTGTGGGGGGCCCACCAGGAGGAGAGCTCAGGCTCTGTCCTTCCCCAGCTGTGTTCCTTCTCGCTGGTTTTATTACCCATAAAACGAGGATGATACAGCACTTGTGTGGAAAGATTTACAAAGTTTACGGGGGCTGATGCATGCTTCTGATCTGCCTTGCATGTAGTAATGTATTCAACAATGTCATTTTTATTGTGCTGGAACTTCACATTTTAACCTGTTTTTTTAAAGTAAGGTTAGGGTTTTTTTGTAGCTGATCTAGAGGTGGGAGAGTGGAGCGAATCCTTTCTTTCTTGGTTGGTTGTGATCACGTAGCTTGATGTTTTTTATTTAATTGGAAGGATTTGGAATGAGTTTTTAAAGTGATGTAGAATTTATTTCAGTTATGACTAATAGTGTATTGAGGGTCCATTGCTCAGTTTTTCAGGCAAGTGACATGGATTTCAAGTAGTTGTGAAATATTTTACAATATGGAATTATAACCCAAGTTTACAACTAAATATATGAAATATGTCTAAACCTTAGTTGATCAGTGCCAGCAGTTAGGATATAAGCTCTTATATTGTTAGGTTCATGTCTGAAAGATTTTCCTCATTGTTGACTTACTGTAAAATTTGCTTGTGGTGACAAAGATTTTTGTTTGGATTTTTTTTTTTTAAACTCAGAAATTTCCAGATTGGAATTTCTTTGGAAGTTTTAGAGTTTTAGAAGCTGTTTACAGTGGAGTAGTAATGTGTGATCAGTAAACTCTTGCAAAGTTACACACGTGTGGATGGATGCACATACTGTGTCAGTATGTAAGATGTGGTCCATGTGGTTTATGGCCTTGGCCTTTTCTGGGTGGGGGCTTGTCCCTAGGTGGTCACACTTCAGAGCTCTCACAGCCCCTCTTGGACCATTTAGGTGTTGGACGGCACCGACAGCCAGTATTCAGAGGTGCAGACTGGACAGCCACAGGACGAGGATGAGGAAGTACCTGATGAAGCCTCAGATGCTTTCAGGAACTCTTCAGTCGGTATGTTGGCATCAGGCTGTGTATATAGAGTGGTCTTGTTTTCAACCCTGGCGCTGTAGTTTTGTCTTAGCTTCTAAGAAGGAATCTTTTGATACCTTTGTTCTCAGAGTTGTAAATAGCAAATGAGGAAGGTCAGTTGAGGAATGGTCATCCTTTTTCTTGATCTAAATCCTGTACTTTCATGTTGACTGTGAGTAAATATGTATATTTGTATTTTAATTGGAAACTTGTCACTTAATCTCCATTTCTCTGCTTTTGAAGCCCTTCAACAAGCACATTTATTGAAAAGCATGGGCCACAACAGGCAGCCCTCTGACAGTAGTATAGATAAATTTGTCTCAAGAGATGAAGCTGCTGAACTAGGAGATCCAGAAAACAAGGTGAGACATTTAGACATGGGGCTGCTCAGCATTCTGAGCTCACATGAGGGTTTAAAACCGCTCTGGCTGCTGTCTGTCCACCACGCTTCTGGCTTCCTCACCTCTGAGTTTTTGCTCAGCTGTGTCCCCTGTAAATACTGACCTCTCCCCAGGGCTGCTTCTCTGCCTCTCCAGGTACTATCCAGATCCTTGACAGCTGCCTGAAGTTCTTCCTCCCTTGAGAGTCCTTCCCAGACACTGTCTTACACTGGTTGCTACCTCACCTGCTTCCTTGGATGGTCCATCTGAAGCTTGTGCATGGCCTCGCATCATTTGCTGTTTTTGTTCCACTGAATTGATTTGTTTGTGTATTGTGGTAAAATACACATAACATTTACTACGGTAACCATTTTTAAGTGTACAATTCAGTGGTATTAAGTACATTCACATTGTGTGCAGCGTTGCCACCATCCAACTCCAGGAGTTTTCATCCTCCCAAACTGAAACTCTATACCCATTAAACATTAACTTCCTCCCCCTCCGTCCCCCTCCGTGCCCCTGCCGTTCTGCTCCCTGTCTCTGCAATTCTGACTCCTCTCGGGACCTCATACACATGGAATCATATAATAATTTGTCTGTCTGTGACTGGCTTACTTCACTCAGCATAGTGGCCTCCAGATTCATCCATGTTGTCGCATGAGTCAGAATGTACTTTTTAAGATGGAATAATATTCCATTGTGTGACACGTTTTGTTTTTCCGTGCATTGGTTGATGGACACTTGGGTTACTTCCACCTTTTGGCTATTGTGAATAATGCTGCTGTGAACATGAGTGTACAAATATCTCTTCAAGACCCTGATTTCAGTTCTTGTGGGCATATACCCAGATGTGGAATTGCTGGATCATATGGTAATTCTGTGTTGATTTTTTGACAAACTGCTATACTGTCTCCACAGCGGCTGCACCATTTTACATTCCCACCAGCAGTGTCCAAGGGTTCCATTTTCTCACCGTCTTTGCTAACACTTATTATTTTCTGATTTTTTTTTGTCTCGTAGCCCTCCCCCTAGGTGTGAGGCCGTGTATTACTGTGGTTTTGACTTGCCTTTCCTTTGCATCATGGTTAGTGGTGCAGAGCATCTTATCATGTGCTTATTGGCCATTCGTATATATTCTTTGGAGAAAAGTCTTTTCAAGTCCTTTGCCCATATTTTTTTTCTTTTTTTTTTTTGCATTGATCTTTATTTATTCAATAGCTCCACTTTTTTTCTATTACCATACTATATACAGTAATATCTTTAAAATATTTTTAACCACTGGGCCACCAAAATAGATCACTGACCACACAATGCAGAGAACTTTTTTCTTTTGTTGCAGAGGAATCTGGGTATTTTTTTTTTTTGGTATCATTAATCTACAATTACATGAAGAACATTATGTTTACTAGGCTCCCCCCTTCACCAAGTCCCCCCCACATACCCCTTCACAGTCACTGTCCATCAGCGTTGTGAGATACTATAAAATCACTACTTGTCTTCTCTGTGTTATGCAGCCCTCCCCATGCCCCCCAGACTATACGTGCTAATCGTAAGGCCCCCTTTCTTTTTCCCCACCCTTGTCCCTCCCTTCCCACCCATCCTCCCCACCCATCCTCCCCAGTCCCTTTCCCTTTGGTAACTATCAGTCCATTCTTGGGTTCTGTGATTCTGCTGCTGTTTTGTTCCTTCAGTTTTCCTTTTTTCTTATACTCCACATATGAGTGAAATCATTTGGTACTTGTCCTTCTCCGTCTGGCTTATTTCACTGAGCATAATACCCTCTAGCTCCATCCATGTTGCAAATGGTAGGATCTGTTTTTTTCTTATGGCTGAGTAATATTCCATTGTGTATATGTACCACCTCTTCTTTATCCATTCATCTACTGATGGACATCTCTTTGCCCATTTTTAAATCAGGTTGTTTGGGGTCTTGAGTAGTTGAGGTGTCCATTAAACTGCTGTTAAAATATCTCTATATTGCTTACCTTTTTACATGTGCATGTCCAGTCTTCCCTGTTAAATTTAAATTCCTCAAGGCCAAGACACAGTGTCTTCCACTTACTCCCACTGTAGGTGCTCAGTTACTTCCATAACCTTGGCGGTCCCTTCCAGGTCCAGGTCGCCTCAGGCCAGGTGTGCTCCCTCTCGGCTTGGGCTCTCCCCTGCCTGGAGATGACGGCTTATGCCGTACTTCCCCAGGCAGCCTCTCCCAAATGCCGGGCCTCAGCTGACTTTTCTCTGTGCCCTTCCTGTGCTGGAGCTCATCCCTGTGTCCCAACCACCTGTGGCTGGTCTGCCTCCCCTGCCCCGTGCTCTGTGAGGTCAGGCACTGTATGGGCAAAGGCAGGCATGTGCATTCCCAGCACCTGGTGTCAGTGCTGCTCTGGGGTCGTTTGTTCAGTGAACTAATGAATGAATGTACTGCTTCTTTGATTATGAGGCCAACAGCTGTCAGCTTCTTTGTTCTAGCCTTGCCGGATCAGAGGTGACATAGGGCAGTCTACCGATGATGATTCCGCTCCTCTTGTCCATTGTGTCCGCCTTTTATCTGCTTCATTTTTGCTCACAGGGGAAAAAAATGGTAAGTATGGAAGGGTGGGCACAGAGTTGAAATAAAGAGTTTTAGGCCTCCAGGGTCAACTTTGTGGCCAATTTCATGCCTTGTTATTGCAGCAGAGGGAGTAGAATTTGGGGGTGAGCTTTGGTTTTCCCTGACTGATGGGAGAGGGAGGGAATGGTGGGGGCAGCTGGGTTAGTGGGTCTGGTTGGGTTTACTTGGAAACTGCTGCTTTGAAGCTGAAGTGACCCACGTGATTTCTTTGCAGTGCTGGTTTCAGACAGGGATGTGAGGGTCAGTGTGAAGGCTCTGGCGCTCAGCTGTGTTGGAGCCGCTGTGGCCTTACATCCTGAATCTTTCTTCAGCAAGCTTTATAAAGTACCTCCTGACACCACGGAATACCCTGGTATGTTAAAAGTTCACATCTTAGTCCTCATGTTCAACCATTATTGTGAAACCTATTTCAGGCCATCCTGGCTATTTGTTTTAGAGTAATAAGGTTTTTGATTTAATTTGTGGCATTTGAACTGTGTTATATCTCTTCATGAAGAACATCAATAGTAATGTTTTTAGTTTTTTGGATTCCTTGTAGATGCAATGTTTAGTTTAAACACAGTAGAAAACAAATCTGGGAGCAGAAGGGTTAGTTCACCTGTGTACTGGATTTATACCAAAAGCACAAGTTGTATGTCATCAGAATTGCTTTGGGCTGTACTCAGCCAGCGAGATGTTCACATTGAGTCAAGTGGGCACTGAGCTGGCTGAGGGGGTACGGGTTCCAGCCGCCTGGGGTGCCCTCTGTCTGGAGCAGTGGTAGGAGGCTTCATATAGCTAGAATCGACTTCCCACCTTGTTTCTCTCTCTTTGGGAGAGGAGACAAATTTGTGCTTTTGAATTCAGATTGGGTAAGCGTGAAAAACTTTCAGTGTTTCAAGTCTTCTTTTGAAGTGGAATCTTGGAATTTTAATGATAAACTGACAACCAGGAATTACAATCCAGAAAAACTGCTGTGTTGCAGTGATATCAGGGATATGATGAATCCAGAATCTTTAAGCCCCAAAATATTTTCCCACTCATGGTTGTTACATTCCAGTCTATTCCAGACCTGGACTGCCCCTTCACCCTTTTTTTATTTCCTAAGAATTAAGCTTTTATTTTGAGCTAGAAGGTTAATGGTAGGGACTTGTACACTGGGCAGTTTATCTCCACAGAGGAGCAGTACGTCTCAGACATCTTGAACTACATTGATCACGGAGACCCGCAGGTCAGAGGAGCCACAGCCATCCTCTGTGGGACCCTCATCTACTCCATCCTCAGCAGATCTCGCTTCCAAGTGGGAGACTGGATGTGCACCATGAGAGATCTGACGGGTAACTGCCAAGCTGTCAGTCATGTCTTTTCTAGATGTAGTGCCCAAGCCCAAGTTCACGTGAAGGCCTTGTTGCTTCCTCTCCTGGTCAGGAAACACATTTTCTCTGGCAGACTGCATTCCTCTGCTGCAGAAAACTTTGAAGGATGAATCTTCGGTTACTTGCAAGTTGGCTTGTACAGCTGTGAGGGTGAGCATGTCCTTTCGTGCAAGTCATTTCTTTGGTTGGTGGAGGTCTCACCATTGTTACAGTTAAAATAAGAGCTTAATATTAAATTGTCCCAAATCTCTAAAGCTGTAAATAATAATAAACATCTGTGTATCCAACAGTCAGCTTAGAAAGAAGATATTGCCAGTAAGGTTTTAATAGATTATAAGTTTTAATTCTCAGAATATTTGTTAGAAATATACCTTTTCCTGAAAGGTATATTTTGGGATGTACCTTCCTAGTAAGTGTAAAACCTGTTGAATTAGGAAACAACAACTCCTTTAGGCGTGTCATTGCTGAGAGCTAAAATGAGGCCTGGGTTAGTCACCTCTGCTGGCACCAGGGGACCAATCTTGGCCCTTTGAATAGTAGCATGTTGAACCTTTATGAACCAGCTGGTCAATAAATCATGATAGTAAAAATTAACCATTAAAAGTCAGAACAAAATCCCTGTAATTGTCAATTTGTGGGATATCTTTCCTTTTTAAAATTTCATGGCCAGGCCAGAATTGTTCCTTAATTCCAGATGTTTGCCAAGTGTCAGTCAGTCTTTTTCCTGGAGCAGAAGGAAGTGTGTTGGAGTGCAGGTCAGTCTGTGCACTAAGGTGCCCACATGTGCTCAGGTGTGGGGATGATGTGGCCGCAGAAGCCCACTCTCGCACCTTGGGCAGCGAAGTGCGCGCGGCATCAGAGAGCATGGATCTTCTTTGCTTGCCCTGTCTTTGCTCTGAGAGGAGCCTTAGAAGGGGCAGTGGTGTTGTATTGCACAAGCTCCCCTTCACCACTGGTAAATGGTGGTGAAGTTGGCATCTGGGAATAGAGGCATGACAAAGGCAGAAACAGTAGGAAGACGGAAACGAAGTTGTGTGAAAGGGACGCATTTCCTTAACTTGACTTTACTGAGATAAAGCGCATATAACTATTTCTGAGAAATGCGGAAAATGTGCAACATCTCTGTTGTGAAAAGAAAGACATGAGGTTTGTAGGAATGTGAAGTCAGAAGCCGTCAAGCTGCGGTTGCAGTGCGGGGCTGCCCCGACGGCCCGGTCCCATAGCGGCCTTGTCTTTCAGCACTGTGTCATGAGTCTCTGCAGCAGTAGCTACAGTGAGCTGGGACTGCAGCTGATCACCGAGGTGCTGCCCCTGAGGAGCAGTTCCTATTGGCTGGTGAGGACAGAGCTCTTGGAAACCCTTGCAGAGATTGACTTTAGGTAAGTGCATCAGGTCTGCTAAGGCCAGTGAACCAAAGCCAGTTGGGGGTTTGAACTAAGAATTGGAAGGCCTGGCTCAGTTTGGCCCAGTTGGTAGAAGTAGTGATGGTTACTGGGTAACCTGCATGTCAGGAATCTGAGCAGCTTAGGGACTTGAGACTGGTGTTCTCCTCTTCAGCTTTGTATTCTTGGAATTGTAATACAGGCAGAGGAGTGGATTTCCCTGTTTTCTCAGGCATTTAAATGTTCTAGTTGGTGGGAATAACAGAGCTCAGACTTTGAAAATAACGTAGTTTATATCAGTTCTGCTTGTTTAAAGGAATGTACTCACCATTATACCAAACTCAGGTCAGGTAGCTGACTGGCCTTTTGTTGCAATTTAAAACTTCACATCTTACGGTTTTTCATTTCCTAAGGGTAAGTTTTCGTTCAAGATGTTTTCTTTCAGTGCTTTCTTTTAGAAGAGAATTTCCCTTACTGCCCAGGTGTGTATCTTATGCCACCATTATAAGAGCGTTTGTTAGATGCTAGGCTCCGAGCCAGGTGCCTGCTGTGATATTTTCTTTCCTCCTCCCAACATCTCTGAATTAGGTATTGTTCTCACCTCTGCCTCACAGGTAAAGGACACTGAGGTGGGGTAGCAGTGTAACTTACCGGGGGCCCCTTCCTGCCAGTCAGCCCTCCCACCTTCTGCTGTAGATGTTTGGGCTACTTTTGTGGGGTACTTGGAGTCTTTCAAAATGATAGATGTTTACATTTATTTAGAAGAAAAACAGTCTGCTGAGTACTGACTGTCTTAGTTTGAAATCATGAGAAGAAAGTATATTCTGCTTCCTTAAAAACGTTAGTCTTTCTGTCAGGCTAGGTAGGTGCTGCCTCTCTGAGCCTCACGTGCTGGTGGGAGTGACCCACTCTGGAGCCGGCCCTCGGGCTTCCATCACTGCATCTATCAGCGTCTTGCAGACCATCACGGGGGTTTGTTGCGTAACTAAATCATTTCACTGTTACGTATGTTCTTTTGTTAGGTTGGTGAGCTTCTTGGAGGCAAGAGGAGAGAACCTGCACAGAAGGGCCCATCACTATACAGGGGTAAGCGGCCCGTCCGTGTGAGGCTCTTCCTGAGCTCCGGGAGGTGGCGCTTGCTCGTGGAGCGGGTCTGGGTGTGTTCTGCTGCAGGTGTATTTCACAGCTGAAATCAGGAATAGGGGCTTGTACGTGGGAATTTAGGGCTAGTGATCCTGAGTTCTTCCTCCCTGGCCTTGCCAAGTATCTTACCTAAAATGTAGTTAAGTACAGAGACTGTATCTCTTTTTATTATTATTCTCTCTAAAGCTTTTAAACCTGCAAGAACGAGTGCTTAATAATGTGGTCATCTCTTTGCTTGGGGACGAAGACCCCAGGGTACGACATGTTGCTGCAGCTTCATTAACGAGGTATTTACCAAATATTTGATATATTCACTTTTTTGGTTAAGGCACCAAATGGTATGAGAATGAAAAGAGAGGGAAAAACTCAGAGGGCATAAGGCAGGATTCCTAAATCTTTTGGGCTCTTTTAGCCACTCTTAAGCTATCAAAAATGATAATTATTCACTACCATGAGAATCTAAAATGATAAGTAAACAGTAAGGATATACTGACTTCTCATTGCAAAAGTCATATACTTGCACTGTCAAAATTCTGGAGAGTAGAGAGTAGCCTGAAGAAGGAAATGGAAGTCACCTTGAGTTCTACCCCTGGGGATAGCCACTGTTGGCATTCTGCTGTATTTCCTGTGTATAAGGTTTTTTTTTCAAAATTGAGGAAAAATGTACATGCTATTTGTAATCTGATCATTTCCACTCAGTGTATCACTAGCATCTTTCTGGTATCAAGTATTCTCTAAAAGAAACATTAAAACCACCCATGTGTTGTTCAGGGCAGCACCTGTACACAGATATATTCATATTTCCATACTGACAAGGTTTTGGGTCTTTACCATTTTCTGCAAGTGATAGCACTTCATTATAGCTTAGAAAAAAATTTGTACTTATGACCAAGTCTCCATGGAGGAAAGAGATTTTAGTTAAAGATACTGGGGTTTGCAAACCCATGTGATAAAATGGTTGATTGTTTCGAAAAGTTCTGTGCCCCAGCCATAGGTGTGAGTCTGCTCATGCAGGATACGCACCAAGTGTGTTGGCTGCAGAAATGAGCCCTTCTGTTCCTTTAGGAAATGCTCCTCACATTCTGCCTGTGTGTCCAGTTTAGATTTGGGAGGGGTCTTAGCTGGAGCTTTGCTGTCTGGGAATTATGGGATGGTTCTGCAGATAGAATTGCAAAAATGAGTAGAGGACAGGCCCTGGCATTCAGATCTGCTCTGTGCTCAGTACTTTCTGTGGAGAGTGGCTTAATGCACTTGTTGACATGCATCAAGATGATTAGAAAGAGAACTTTCAAGGTTGTTCTTAATCAGAGCATTTAATTATGCATAGAGAAAAGTTCTTAATTCTGTGACAAGTGTAGTGCAGAACCTAGTTACTTCAGAGCAGGTGTGTGAGAGAGTGGGCCTGTCATTTGAGATCCCCCACTCCACTGCCCTTGGAGAATACCTCCCCTGAAAAGGGAAGTAGTGTTCAAGGGTAGCAGTATTTTAGGCTTGACCACCTTGATTGGAAAGGTGGTAATGGGTGAGTTTCATATACTTTCTTCAGCAAATAACATTACTTTGATATTAGGCTTGTCCCAAAGCTGTTTTATAAATGTGACCAAGGACAAGCGGATCCGGTAGTGGCCATGGCAAGAGATCAAAGCAGCGTTTACCTGAAACTCCTCATGCATGAGACGCAGCCTCCATCTCACTTTTCTGTTAGCACGATAACCAGGTACGCTAACCGATGCTGTCAAAGAAAATGGGCCTTTTCCTGATGCCTCTCTTTAGGGCTTTAATCTACAACACCGTACTGTCTAGAGAGAGAACTCCAGGGAGGGTACTTGTGTAGGTGGTCTCTCTTTGATAGGACACTTCTCTCTTTTTTTTTTATTTTGTTATCATTAATCTACAATTACATGAAGAATATTATGTTTACTAGGGTCCCTCCTTCACCAAGTGCCCCCCACAAACCCCATTACAGTCACTGTCCATCAGTGTAGTAAGATGTTGTAGAATCACTACTTGTCTTCTCTGTGTTGCACAGCCCTCCCCATGCCCCCTCCCCCTACATTATACATGCTAATTGTAATGCCCCCTTTCTTTTTCCCTGCCCTTGTCCCACCCTTCCCTCCCTTTCTCCCCAGTCCCTTTCCCTTTGGTAACTGTTAGTCCATTCTTGGGTTCTGTGATTCTGCTGCTGTTTTGTTCCTTCAGTTTTTCTTTGTTCTTATACTCCACATATGAGTGAAATCATTTGGTATTTGTCTCTCTCCGCCTGGCTTATTTCACTGAGCATAATACCCTCCAGCTCCATCCATGTTGTTGCAAATGGTAGGATTTGTTTTCTTCTTATGGCTGAATAGTATTCCATTGTGTATATGTGCCACATCTTCTTTATCCATTCATCTACTGATGGATGCTTAGGTTGCTTCCATTTCTTGGCTTCTGTAAATAGTGCAGTGATAAACATAGGACACTTCTCTGTTTTTAGGACTTATCACCCCACCTCTTGTTTAAGCTCTCTGGCAGTCATGCATCAGTGATGTCAGAAGTCTTTTAATTTGTTCATTACACATACTAACAAATGTACTTTCATATATGACTTGTATGCTGTCTTATCTAAAAACTTGTCCATTAAAAATTTCCCTTTCTCTTTCTTGTGTTGTTGAAGAGTATGGTTCTGTCATGCCCATTAATTTTCAGGTGAGCAGGCTGTTTAAGAGTGTCAGTATTATTTAGGGCTGTCCACTAATGGCTATACATATCCCATCCTCATCTGATACTCCAATGGGTGGCATAGAGTATAAAAGCAATTAGAGCAGAAATGTGGGAATGGAGTTATAATTTTCCTTAGAATTTTAGTTTGCAAAGAACACTGCAGAAGTGATGAGACTATTGTGCTTTTTAAAGTCTCTGTGTTTTTAAACATCTTAAAATTAGCTTTATATGTTAATGCTCCTTTCTGCTAAGTGGCAGTTTTTTTTAAAAAACATGGACTAAATGACACCTGTGCTAAAATGTTCACTTGCTGCCTTTGTTCTGAATTTGGAACTCAGCTGGTCAAATTTAGAAGTCATTATTCCAAATACCTCTTATCTCTTCTCAGGTAAAGAATGCTTTAAAAAAAAAACATGGAAGTAATTTTCTTTTCAGAGAATTTCCTTCCTTTGACTTCAGAACTGGCATTTTCTCTTTGATTCCTTTAGGACAAGCACAAGCAGTGTAAGAGTATTTCAGTTTCAGGAATTTAATATGCTTAGAGTAAATTACTGTTTCTAAATGTCATTTCAGAAAATGAATATTTAGATGCCAACAGAGGTGAGCATAGTATTTTGTTAAAATTGGTTACTAACTACTACTTGGAAAATTTCCCAATTCCAAACGTAGGTTGGCCTCTTGACATCTGGCTGTGTTTATGTGGCTCTTGCATGGTAAACACAATCACCACTTTTCCAGCTATTTTTGCAGCTTAGCTACCTGCTGTCTTAGATTTTATGTGATAAAATAATTTCCTCCTTGGTTTTATCGTGGAGTGCCTCTGTAAACAGGGCTGAAGGATACAAATGAGATTCAAACACTAACCCTGCTGGGGCTTCGTTTCTGTTGTTAGTCAATTAGAATTTATATGTAATACAATGAGGATTGAAATTGCTGTGTGCCATGAATGGAATATGGAACTGTGGTGGTCCCATGGCTGGATATGGAAGGTGCCATGGCAGCCCTGCGGTAGAAAAAGGACTCTCTTTGGTTTTGGAATCAGGAATGGCTTCATTTCTTTCAACTTAAAATTTGAAACACGGATGGCTTCGGATGTGTAGAGATTACAGCCAAGGCTGTGACGAGGAGGCATTGCTCCAGTACTGTGGGGAAGGTATCCGGCAGACTGGGAGTAGGGAGGGCGTAATTTCAGCCATTTTTATAGAACAATAACCAAATGTATGCCAATCTTTTTTTAACTTAAAGTCAAGACTGAATTTTTTGTAGATTTTAATCTTAAACTTTTAAATGCCATTTGAATTTAGAAACTGTCATAAGCGTTAATAGATTTAAGTCTCCGTGTTTTTCTTATTAGAATATATAGGGGCTATAACTTACTACCAAGCATAACAGATGTCACCATGGAAAATAACCTTTCGAGAGTTATTGCCGCAGTTTCTCATGCGTTAATCACGTCAACCACGCGACCACTTACGGTAGGTCTCTTGGTTGGTCTTGATGAAATCCATTTGCAGTAGTTTGTATGGTCAGTTCTCAATGGTAAGATACTTATAATAGAGCTCCTACATATGGGTCTTACCAAGAAATTGTGTTTCTATGAACAAATCTTGTTTTATTGTAATAGAAATGTAAACATCTATTTTTTTTCCTGATTGTTAAAGTAATATATGCCTGTTGTAAAAAAATATAGCCAATACAGGAAGATACAAAAATGAAAATAAAAAGTACCATAATCTGAATTGTTAATATCTCAAAAGTTTAAAATAGCTCTAATATAATTGACTCAGAGACTTTGTAATACATACTTCAGGAGAAAATACCGTGAAAGCCAGCAAAGATTTTTGTATAATGCAATTATATCATGATTTATGATGCTACAATTGGAAATGAACCAGGATGTCCAAGAATAATTAAATTCTGATCATGACTAAATTCTATGTACATAAGGTAGTATATTTATTATACACCTATCAATATGCTTTGGAGAATTTTTGACAATATATATTGAGAGATGTAATCTAGATTATAATATTAAATTAAAAAGGCACAACACAAAATTGTATGTGTATAGTCAGATCTCAATTATAAAAAATAATATTTGCATATGTACATTTCTCACATAGGAAAAGGACTGGCAGAAAATTGCCAGATGATTTTTAGGATTATGAATGATTTTTGGTTTCTTCCTTATATTTTTCTCATATTCACAAATTGTCTAAAATGAACAAGGGTAGCTTCCATAATTAGAAGTAAAGAATATTATACAAAAGTAGTGTTAATTTGCTGGTTACCAGGTTAAACCTTGTCATTTATGTGATGGAAGAAATTCATGTTGTAGAAAACTCCAATAATTATGATTAGGCTATCTTGATAAGTACCTAAGTGCCTTTTAAACCTAAATATCTTTTCGGACTGCCTGTGATTCGGTCTTCCCTTGATTTGTTTAATGCCATAAACCTTCTTTATTTGTATTCATTGCGGCTTACATGTGCCGGGCACTGTTTGGGCTTGGGGTATAAAGACCAGAGTATCCCGCCCTTGGGGCTTGTGCGGTCTGGTCAGCGAGGTGGGCATCAGTCACCATGGGTGTAGGAGCAGATGGGGTGGGGTGCATTTGGGCAGAGGGGGCACCCAGGGTGGCTACCCTTCCAAGCAGAAGAAGCTGCACCGCTCTGGCCTCTTCGCTGGGATGTAACCAATCCCTCCTTGAGCCTGTATTTCACTTTTAAGGTATGACTTTTAAGGTATAAATCTGTCCAGGGAAGGACAGATGGCCTGTTGTTAGACATAGATCTCAACTTTGTTTTCATTATTTGTACTTTTTATAAAAGGGTAAGAGGATGTTGAGTTTAATAAACCCTCTCTTGTTCTTGGGTGTGATGTCACTACTCCTTTCTCCCTCAGTTCGGGTGCTGTGAAGCTTTGTGTCTTCTTTCAGCCGCCTTCCCAGTGTGCATATGGAGTTTAGGCTGGCATTGTGGGTATGTATTTTTCTCCGCATGTGAAGTCTACAGCTCCAAAACGCACGCGTTCTTATTAGAGTTCCTTTTTCCTTCTTTTTGTCCTTCATCAAGTTGGCCTTTTGGGGAAATATCCAATGGAACGCTTGCTTCCATCCTGTTGTGTGGGAAGTACGCAGCAAGGGCTGTGGGGAGATACTGCATTCACTGTGATTCTAATGGGCACCAAATGCTTACTCTTAAGCACTTTGGAGGATCTGAGGGTGTGATTTGCAGGTTCATTTAAGAGAATTTGCATATGCTGGCAAAAGAGTTTGCTAATTGGTTTGCTTCTCTCCAAATATTAAAAATCCAGAAACATTTTCGTTTGGAATCAGACGTGACCTATCATACAAAAATTATGATTAACTACAAGCATGTAATTTAGGAACTATTGTACTTACATTAGCCATATTCATTCAAAAGTGGTTTTCTTCCAGTAGATGGCCCTAATAGCATCTGTGAAACAGTGTTCACGAGTCTTCTCTAGCATGAGGGAGTAAGCTTTTCTTAGGGGTGCTGACCACTGAGAACAATGTTGGAGGCTTGCCGTCCCGCCTGGAAGTGAATGTGCAGCCTTGGTGTGTGTGCGTTTGCTTGAGGCGTCCTGCTCGCTCAGTCTGGAGTGACTGCTTTCCTCTCAACAAGTAGCTGCGGGGCACCTGCCACTTCCGGGCATAGAGCCAGTGGGGACTTGATGTATGAGCAACTTCCATGCGGGAGTAAAATGTGCTACGCCAAACTAAAGAAAGTTAAAAAGATAATCAAAAGAAATAATGATTTTAACTAGATCTGCTCCCTGATTTCGTTTCTCAAATGATGTTGATGGAGCTGCGGCCTAGAGGGACAGTGTCAGTTACTTGTGAGTCGCTTTGTGAGCTGCTATAAAATGCGCAGTGACATGACTTCCTTTGGGTTCTTAAGAGAAGGTGAGATTGCTAACTTTAAATTTTCTCTGTGATTTGACCTGCAAATGTCTGCTTCCAGAGTGCCCCCACTGAGTGCTGCAGACGAGTCCAGGAAGAGCTGCACTGTGGGGATGGCCACGATGGTTCTCACCCTGCTCTCCTCAGCTTGGTTCCCACTGGACCTCTCAGCCCATCAGGATGCTTTGATTTTAGCTGGCAACTTGCTTGCAGGTATTGGCATTGAGCTGAAACAGGAGCTCCAGGTCTTTAACTTTTTATTTTCTTTTGAGGGGAGGAGCGGGGGTAGTAAGCACATGAAAGAAATACTGTGAGGTCGGTGCCAGTGAGAGCTTGTCCCTTTAGTCAGATTGCCGTGCTACCACCACACAGAAATGTGCACTGAGGTAGCTCTTCTATGCCTGATATTCTAAAAGAGCTGTTTCCCAGTCTGGCCCCTCAGTTAGTTCTAGGTAAACTTACTTCAAATTTCATTTTAGTGGATACCACATGCCACAAACTGTCCCAGGCACCAGGGTTAAGGAAAGTTTGATGTGTGGGCTGTTCTCAGGTTGAATGTAGACTTGGGTAGGTCACACATAAACCCGAATGCAGTGGCAGCATGGGGAGGCAGTACTCAGTCTCCTTTGGGGATCAGGGTGGGCAACGAGATTTGCAGGCTGGCAGGAAAGGGCACACCAGACAGTGTAGCATGTGTGAAGCCATGGTGTCATGGAAGGTTGTGGGACGTTGGAGAACTGTAAGTAGTTTTGGATGTCAGGTGGTGATGAGGAGTGGGATAGAGACGGGCTGGTGAGGGAGGGAGATGCCCATGAGATTGGTGGGTGTGGAGGTGGTCCTCCTGGTCCATCAAGGGGGCTGGTTCTGTTTGCCACAGGAGGTCAGGATGCTCTCCCCACTAGTGATGGGGCTTGTCCTTTGAAAGATCACTCAGCTGGCCTGACTGTGGGCAGCAGGAGAAGGTAGGGAGACTCAATTAAGAGGTTCAAACCGTAGTTAAGGTAAGAGGCCGAACAAGTTGGAGGCCTTGGAATTGGGGGAAGAGACAGGTTTGAAAGTGACGAAGGAGGAACCAGCAGGCCGTGCCACCAATGGAACTTGGGTTGTAAAGATCAAGAAGGGGCCTAGAATGAGTGCCACACCCCGGGTGGGTGTGGTGATGACACTGATGGACATTGAGAGCATGATTTCGCAGAGAATATCCATTTCCTATTGAATTTGAAGTGTCATCTGACTGTCAGTGGAGGTGTCTGGTAGACTTGCAGTGTACCTGGGTCCCTAAGCGATTGCTTTTCCCCACTCTCCCTGTGCCACAGCCAGTGCCCCCAAGTCTCTGAGAAGTTCATGGACCTCTGAAGAAGAGGCCAACCCTGCTGCCACCAAACAGGAAGAGGCCTGGCCAGCCCTGGGTGACCGGACCCTTGTGCCCATGGTGGAGCAGCTCTTCTCCCACCTGCTGAAGGTGATCAATATCTGTGCTCATGTCTTAGATGACGTGGCTCCTGGACCAGCAATGAAGGTAACTTCTGCTCGACAGCTGTTGAGATAACTCAGTGGTCTGAATGACTCCATGGGCTTCCACACATGCCTCTGGCTCCTCGTTTTCCCCCGCCTTACTCTTTTTTGCTTTAAATGAAGAAAACTGCTCACACTAGATTTAACACCAAAATGTGACCATCCAATCTGTTAACACTTCTAGTATGGTCTCAATTACTGTTCCCTCTAAGAGGGCAAAAGCTAGTTTCATTCTTAGGCTCTCAGTGTTAGCCAAGGAAGCTCAGAATCCAGGTTGCTGGCTTAGATCACTCATTTGCTCTTTCCTGGAATGTTGGCAAATGGTTTCACTTTTCCAGAAAGTGAAGGTCACTAACGTCAACTTCAAAACAAATGGTACACTATTGGTACAATGAACTGAAGACAGATCAGTTTCCTTTTAATTATACCCGATTATTCTCCCCTGAGTCCGCCATATCAAGTCTCAGATCTTGAGGAAACTCCTCTAACTTCTAGTTCTCCTTTCACTGCCAGTTGGTCTCCCCTCCCTGCAAACCCCTTTGAAAGGTCCCGTCTGCCTGCTTGACAGCTTAGTCTCCCCAGCGTTCAGACGCTGGCCTTCTTCATGGGGCCTCCTTGGCCATGGACTCTGTCCACTGCTCTGCCCATCGACCCTTTAATACCTTCTGGTCTGATTCCTGCCAAGATCAGTGTCTGAATCTTGCAAGCACCTCTCGGCACCTCTCATTGCCGCTCTGCCTGGCTCAGTACCGCCGCTCCTGTCTTCTTGGCTCCTGGGTTGTCTTCTTTTTCTCTGACCCCTTCCTCCCTGGGCACATTCCCCAGGGAACCAAATGCAGGTTTATCCTCTCTGCCTGCCACGAATGCTTCCAGGTCTCTATTCTGCTCTCTGGGGTCAGGTCTTCCAGAAAACCCTGTAAAGGTGGAAAAGTTCCACATCTGCAGCCAGAACAGCACCACCAGCCACGCGTAACTGCTGAGCATTTGCCTGAAGCCAGCGCAGTGGGGGACCAGGTTTCCAGTTGTGTGTGCTTGTCATTAAAGGCCAATTGAAGAGCCATGCATAGACAGTGTGTGGCAGGGACAGGGCAACTCTGAGTATCACCGCTGCTCCTGTCTAAATGTGAGACCCTCAGCCCCGTCTCAGGGGCACCAGCCCAGTGTGGTGGCTGCCACTGGATGGTTCATAGACATTGCAGACATAGCCTAAAGCAGAACTTGCTGACGTCCTCCCTAGTCTGGGCGGGGTGGAAACCCTCCCCAGGTCTCCCACTTCGTGTTCCAGCAGGCTGGAAACATAGCATTACCACAGCTCCGTATCATTGCTCATGGGTCCTTTGTTTGCCCTATTAAACCTCTGCACAAGAAGCCATGCGCATATGTGCACGTGTACACAGACACATGCATACACGTATGTGCACGTGCATAGGCGCACGTCCTCAGGCACACACATGCTCTTCTCTCTGCTCACCGCCACTGCTCTGGCCCAAACTGATGGGCATCTCACTTTGACAACTGCAGGAACCTCTGTTTTTGGCGCGGTATTATTGGATATTATGCACTCAGAGCATACATCACAAACAAATGACTCACCCATTCGAAGTGTATGATACGGTTTGTTTTAGTACGCCCACAGAGCTGTCTGGCCGCCGCCACGTTCCGTTTCAGAACCCACAAGGAACACTGTGCCCTTTAGCTGTGTCCCTGGCTGCAAATGACTGTGAATCCCTTCCTGTCTCTGTAGATGTGCCTTTTCTGGACATTTCACATGAATGTCGCTGCACGGAGTCTTTGAGGCCCTTGTCATGTAGCCTGTTTTCCAGATGTAGCAGCTACTTGCTGGTCTCTCTACAGCCCTGCCTTGCTCCCTTCCAGCCCATTCTCCAGAGGGCGACCATTTATGTCATTGCATTCATTGTGCAGATAAGGGTCTGAGGTGTAAGGTGGCTTCTGTGGATCATGGGCTGAGTAAGAGTGGAGCTGGGGCCTGGCATCCATGTTCTGTCATCACCTCTGCTCTGCTTCCATGCCGCAGCCTTCAGTCATGTTCTGTTTGCTGCCCTGTGTCCCGCAGAGTGGGTGGGCTTTGTGGCTAGTCTGGCTTTGTTGACTCCCAGCCCTGCTGCTTACTAGCTGTGATCTTGAGTAAGTCACTTCCATCTCTGAGCCTGTTCCCTTGTTGGAAGGATGGAGTTTAAAGCATTACATTATGCCCTGGCTTCTAGATAACACCCTGGTTGCTTGCTATTGTGGGTGGTGTGTCTGGGGGCTCCAGTGGCTCCCTGAGGGCCTCTTCCATCCCTAATCATTCCCAGCACACCTGTCAGGAAGCTGTGGGACAGCACCTACCCCGGACTGTGGTTGTATTAGTTAAAGTGGACATATGTACAGTAGCTGAGTTCTGTAGATGTGGATTCAGAGAAAAATGGGCTGGTTCTTCTCAATAAATGGTAAAACCATATGCTATAATTCTCAGTTTCTGTGTTGGTTCTGTTTCTTCACCAAATTTTGTTTTCTGTTTTAGGCGGCACTGCCGTCTCTGACAAACCCCCCTTCTCTAAGTCCAATCCGACGAAAGGGGAAGGAAAAAGACCCGGGAGAGCAGGCGTCTATACCACCAAGTCCCAAGAGAGGCAGCGAAGCCAGTCCAGGTGCGAAGCGGTGACTTGGGGGTACATGGGAGCGCCGTCTGTGTCACAGAAATTTAGGACTTAAGCTCACGTTCATGTCACTTGGTACTTTTTTCAAAATAAAATATATAGCAGTGAAGCCAGAGAATTGGTTTCCTCAGGAATGGTTTTAGATGTTTAATATTAATTACTGATTAATATTAGTGTGTGGTCTTCACACACATTGGTCTTCAGCTTCTCTAAATGTGACTTACTAACATGAGTCACAACAGCCTGCGGGCATCTGGCCTACAGCAAGGAGCCTGGCCTGCTGCCCAGTGCCCTGTGCTTCCTCCTCGTCGGACTGCAGAGGAGGCGTGGGGAGGGATTCTGATTTTCAGTAAGGAGGGTGGTGCAGATGGCTGGGGATAGAGCAACAGGTGAAAGCACTGGTTCTGGTGTGTGGAGAGATGAAAAACCTGCATTAATGAGGCGCTAAATGGGAGGTAAAGTGAGGGCAAAGTCCTGCGAGTGAAAAATCACAGACACCTGGAGGGGCTTCCCCAGCCTGGAAAGTCTCAGAACAGAAGGCGCCACAGTTAATGGCATGATGCTAGTTTGTGCATATTGCTGCTCTTGGTGGCATGGGGAGGCCACACCAAGCAGGAGGTGACCAGCTGCTGGTGCCCATCTGCACATAGGCAGGGTCACCCAGTGCCTGGGGCCAGTTTGGAAAGCATTCATGTGAAGGCTTTTTAAAAGATGCTATTGTCTAAGGATTGACTGTAGTACCACAGGAAGGTTAACCAGTTTGATAGCTTCAGAGCTTCCCTAGTGCACAGTCACCAGGGTGCAAATGATCATTTCTGATAGATTAAATAAATAAGGACTCCAAGAATCCTTAAAACTTGAGCGGAATAGTTTTATATAGTGCTAGGCATGTTAATTTTTGCCATCATTTTAATTATGTGTGTACATTTTACAGTCTCAGAGCATGTTCCCATGTCAGCTTGTTTGATTGCTTAAAGGGCCGAGGACCTAAGTTTTCCTGGGGTCCAGCCACTCATGCCTCCCTGGAGAGCCATGGGCTCCAAGGGGTTATGTGACTGGCTGAAGGTCATTGAATTCGTGGTTCCTCTGATTCACAAACAGGCAACCACCCAAAACAAATAATAATATCACACTGCTTTTCTTCTTTTATTTTATTCTTTTTTAGGGAGGTGCTCAGGTTCTACTTGTGTTTTATTAGTCAATTTCTTGTTGCATCTGATTAACCAAAAAGTCAGAGGATAAATTCGATTTTATTCTACTAGAATACTTTAAAAAGTCATTAGTGCCAGTAATCTGTTTTACACTTGGCAAGTGTTTACATTTCATCTAAAAGTTTATCTGTGTGTGTTTAAAGCCTCTCGACAATCTGAAACCTCAGGGCCTGTCACAGCAAATAAATCCTCGTCGCTGGGGAGTTTCTATCATCTTCCTTCATACCTCAAATTGCATGATGTCCTGAAAGCTACTCATGCCAACTACAAGGTACCGCTTCTTTTGTAAAAATATGCACATACACAGATTCCTAATAACTTGTTGGTGTTTTTCTTTAAGATTTATAGTTTGTGATACATACACAGACATACAAAAAAAAGTAAGTTAGGCCTTTGGGATATGGTTACAATTAGTTTTTTCAAGTTTGTCTCTGAGGTTTGTTTGGTACCTTCATCATATTCAACTTTAGGATTTTTACGAGAGAAACAGTCTCTTTCTGGTTTATTGGCGCTGTGTCTGGGCTCCCCAAGACCACGCCCATGCCCAGAGATTCACTGGGAGGACTCTTGAGGCTCAGCAGGTAGTCCTCCTCACAGCCTGGACTCCACAGCCGTGCGGCGGGGACACACAGCCAGACCGGAAGGGAAGGCGGCGCGGCTGTGTCTGGAGGGCTCCACGCAGGCCTCCTAGGCCTTTCTCCCCATTCAGGCACATTTTGTAGAAGATTCAGAGGCCCTGTTCAGCTCGATGTTTGTCATGCCAACCCCACAGGAGAGGCAGGCGCATTTAACCCCCCAGAGGAAGACTTCGTGCCCGCCTGTCTTCGGCTCTGCGACCCCTGCCGGGGCTCCCAGCATTCGCTTCCCCTCTCGCCTCGTCCTCTCCCCGGGGGCGTGGGCAGTGTTTGGGTCCTCTCACTGTCCTCTCACTGTCCCCTCTCGGTCTCCTCACTACCTGTCCTGTTGCCCAGGTGTTGCCTCTTTCATCGCGGGTAGTTAGATTTTATTTTGCTGAGCAAATCCTGTTTTTTTGCAGTGTTTTTGTAGTTGCCTGCAGTTTTTATTTTCATAATTTCTACCCTTTTCCCTTGTTCATACAGATTCTAGCTTTAGACCTGACGTGTGCTCTCGGTCTATTGAAAGGGGAACTGCCACATAATCTAATTAAGTCGGGTCCTTAGACTCGGAATTGAGTACTTAAGACTAATTCAGCACTTTGTTGTGAGCAGACTGAAAGACTGTGTCTAAATTCTGTAAGGATTTTCCTCAGGGACCTTAATGCATGTGGAATAC